AAACTTCAGGAGTTATTTTTGAGATTCTCATCTTTCAAATTTAAATCATATCTCAAAAGTAATTTAGCCAGTTATGGATGTGAGTTTCTGTAGAAAGCAATGAGATGTTTGCAGTTAAATTTTTTCAGAGGCATTGAAGTTATTTATTTTTGATAGGCAAGTTCTTTTCAGTATGAATAAATGTTGTTCTTACATGCACAGACCTTAATGTGATGGTCAGGAGTTGGAGTATTGAATGTACTTCTAATCTTTTCTGTGTGCAGAGAAGTCTTTTCCTCTCTGCTTTCCTCTCTTACAAACTCCTTGGGCAGCGCAGCAGAGGAAATTATTCTTATTTCACGCTCTTTTCCTGCACAAAATAAATTTTCTGCTTTCATTTCCACTGCCTTAATTTTAGAGGGCATGCCTTCCTAATTTTTTCTTGACCAAAGGACAAAAAATAGGGAAAACCATTTAAAGAATGAAACAAATAGGAAAAGAAGGGACAGCATCTATCGTGTTTGAACAAGCACACTATAGGGATCAGTGTTGCCATTTTTCTGGCAAGCCTGTAAACAGCTCTATTTGTACGCTAGGCACTGAGAATCCACAGTTTCAGGCGAGCAGTAAGATGACTGCTGCTGGGAAGTACCTGTCAATGTATTTAATTTGTTTTAGAAACGTGGTATGGCAAAGTCAGAAGAGTGAAAAATTACATATTTGGTACCTTCTTGTAAGACAGGAAGTAGGAGATGGACGATCAGAATATAATTTTTAACTTCTATAGCTAGTAAATTGCTGGAAAAACTAAATATCATGAATAATAAGCAATGTGTTTTCACTAAAAAATCAAACTGTGCTAAAATAATTTAATCTCTTTCTTTGATAGGATAATAGTCCTTCTTGGTTGAAGAAAATATTGTGGACATGGTGAACTTGATTCTTAAGTTCTGCCTGAAAATTATGTGCATATATGAGTTGCAAGAGTAAATCAATCATTTCTTGCATACACATGAATCTTTTACATGTGTAAATGGTATTATATTACATGATGATTTCACAGGAGTGATTTGGTTAGAAAAAATGGTTGCAGACTAGATTCACTAAGGAAACTATAGGGATCATGGACTCCTGTTTTAGTAAGTAAGTTGAGTCCCCTGACTTTATTTTTTTCACCTTCAGCATCATGGTTACATTTAGAACTGGAAAAGGATTTATTATGAAACTGCTTAAATACAACTTTATTTTTTTTTTTTAATTCATAAGGAATTTTATAGATGCTGATATTGTGGATTCATCTTATGTCAGAGTAACATTCTGTCACTTTGTCACTTTCTTAGTCGCCTATTTGTGCTTTAATTTGACATCCATCTATTTTCAATTTGGCATTTAAGTGACAATTAAATGTAGTTGCATATAGCGGTGGTGCTGATAGGGAGTGAGATCTGAAAAAATTCTTGCACACAAACAAATGCAGAAATAACTTTTTCCTGCTCAACTTGAGATAAAGTGTTGTGGTTCTGTATTTGCAGTATATTTGATGTCCAGTATGGCTTATTGCTTCTAATGAGTTAAAACAGGATCCTTCCCAACTGGGATGTTATGGTTGATACCCTTGCACTCTCTGCAGTGCCTTTGACTTGTGTCTACTAGCTTTCTTTCCTAACAAGTCCTGGGCATGGTGCGTGTGAGAATGAGGGCCAGGGACCATTCCTGAAAGCAGATTGAATGTGATCAGAGTATATAGCCCCCATATATGACTGAGAAGTTTTAGTAATGTGGACATAAATCATTCTGTTCTAGTGGTATTGTAACAAAGAATAGTCAAGGGCACATTACATTAAAGGCTAGAAACTGTGCCAATATGTCTTTTTGAATAAGAGAAGTTTTGAAAGGATTGCAAGAAGTTTATATGATGTACTTAAATATATTATCTTGGCAAACTGGGAAGAACTCTCTGAAATCTGAGTGCTACTCATGAAAGACAGTGTAAAGTACTGTGCTTAGTTCAATGGGAAATAAAACGTTCACAAAAAGAGAGGGCATATACCTGCCAAATCCTAATACTACCAGGCAAGAGAGGTGGTAGAAAAAACATAATGACAAAGATAAATTAGATAGGAATACAGTGCATGGTGCTGATTTAATACTGTAATGCATGTTACCTAGTGTCAGAACAAGTAAACTTAATTATTTCAGGCACAATTCAATGTGATTAATCTAGGCACCTCTGAAGGCCACCAAATTGCAACTTATATATGTATGCTTTTCACTTGAATCTATAGAGAACTTAGGTACTTAAGAACAATTTAGAAGGACTTTGTTATATCTCTCTTCTTCTTCCCAGTGCACTGAAAATTCTAAGTCTCGTTGTAGTCAACATTCAGTGTATTCTGCATTGCTTAACTCTCAAACTGACATGCTCATTTTCAGGCTTGTCAGCTTAAAGACATTTCAGTGTGGATTTCAGGAGAGTACAATAAAATGTTGAGTTCTGAAAAAAAATGGAGGAAGGAGAAAAGATTTGAGGAGAAGTGATAGTTGCATACAAATACATAAGCAAATCTTATTTTTTTTTTAAAAAAAAAGGAATCAAATACAGGTATTACTAAGGATAGTACCAAAATTATTAGGTTAAAGGGAATTGGGAAGAAAGTTAATTTGCTATGAGAACACATATGCAATTAGAATGAGTTGATGGAGAATCTTCATAGGGAATTTGTATGACATACATCATAAATAATTTAGGAGTTATTTAATCCATCCTAATACAACACATAATTATAAGAATTCTTAAAAATGAAATGTTCCATGATTCTCTGACTGCAAGGTGATGTCATGTATCATCTTTAGTGTTTTCAGGTAGATAATTCAGTTGTAATAATGTAGAAAGATGGAGAGGCTTTCTTGTTCTTACTCTGTCTTGTGCAAAAACTGACTTTGTTGTCTCTATGGTACATTATAGAATATACCTTAGCACTTTCTATACTGCATTGTAGTAACTAAAAAGCATTGTTTTGGCAGTAAATAACGGGAACCAGAGATAAATCAAATCTGACGTGTACTATGTCACTGGGCTGTTCCTAGCAGTGAAAAAAATTTGTCAGCATTTAGCACAGAAAATAAAATAAAAATATCTTATTGCCACAGAACACTGATGACAAAAAACATTACTTGATTCAAAAGAAAATCCCTAATCACATACTTAAAGTAATATATATGTTGATTAAGGCCAGTGCTTAAACTTAAGCCTATTTCTGAGGATAGTGCTAAACATTCCTTTAAGTGAATTGGGACTTGAATACCAATTCTTTAGAACGGTAGTTCTTTTTTTTTTTTTTTTTTTCCTTTTTATTTTCCAGAGACTCAGCTGAGTCCAGGTAGAATGTAAATCTCAGGGCACTCAATAGCACCAAAGAAACATTTCAATGACTGTCATGAAGTGTCAAAAATTGTATCAAGAAGCCTGTTTGTCATACCGAAATATTCACAAAGACATGTTCAAAGAACTCCTGGTGGTGTCAGCATACTTCCAGAAGTACGTGGGCACCAAAGATCAGAAACATCTTAAGAATAGGGAAATAATTTTACTAAGCATGTATTTTCAGATCTTGAAATGAAGCTAATGGAAGTGGCAAGGTTCATCAGTCAGAAATTTGGGCAATAAACTTTTTCCAAAAAAAAAAAAAAAAGGAATGGTAATTTGTTTAAGTTGTTGATAGAGAATTCAAAACTATGTTCAAGTTTGAAAAGTAACACTTGTATTTAAGTGCAAAGGACAAGACCCTTTCCCCCTTGTCATTGAAAAGATAATATTATTTGTCATATTCACTAGATTATGTCAATGCAGTATCCACCGTTGTCAAATTTGACTTGGCTGGGAATCAGCATCTGTTGAATTGATTTAAATGAATATGGGCAGGGAAATGTATAATGCATTTAATGCAAGACAAAAGGAAGGACAATGTGTGTGGTCACATTGCTTACTAAATGTGAAAGATAGCTCTTTGGCATAATCATCTTTGTTCCAGAAGTAAAGACAAATTCTCGAAGGATAGATTCCAAGGGGCTGTGGAGTGTGCTTACTTAAATAAAGGCAAGTACCTTTCCAGCAAAGATTCACTGCAAGAATTGCTAAACTCTTGCATTTTGGCCTACTTCATTTATTCACAGCCTGAAGACCTAATACTCACAATTTATTTTGATTTGAGGTGAAATCTGGGTAATTGTGCATGTCAGTCCAAATGGTGCTAGTTTATTTTAGAAACTATTTATATTTTGTGTTTTGCATATCCCATAAAGAGTATTTCAGTCATGAGTCTTTATTAGAGACAAATTCTGTTTATATGTTTGCAATCTGAGAGCTTCTTCTTGCCTCGCTTATCTATCAGCTGTCAGTAATGGCCAGACAGAGAGTGGCCTCATTCTTGGCTAACTCCCTTGTAGGTCTTTAAGAGTCTTCAAACTTATCACGTATTTTACATATGCATGTATACATAAGCACATAAACAATGGCCACTAGAACCAACTGACTTACTGACATTAGGGCAGAGTTGGCCTTTTTTTCTTTTAAGGTACAAAAGTAAGTATGTTCCATTTTCCATTTTTTTTCAACTATTTGATAAAATGCAGAGTTAATAAAAACACTTAAAATGGGTAAAATGTAACATGGGCATCTAGAACACCAGTTACTTTGTGCAAGTGTGCTCTACAGAGTGCATAGGTATGAAGCACATAATCTCTTAACTAAGGATTTGATAGAGAAAAAAAAAGACTAATTCATGAGGAAAATATATCTGATAAAATTATTATTTTCATATTTGTGTACCAAAGTACAATCGGACTGGTTAAGTCAATCTCTTATAATGCCATTAATTGAGTTTTCATAAATTTTATTAGCAATGCTTAAAAATACTACTTTGAATAATAGTTGATTTAAAAAAAAAAAAAAAAAGACTTCATGGATTGCAAAAGATACTTAATTGAGACCTGCAATGACTGGAATACTTTTTTATCCACAGAACATGGGTCGCAGCAGAGTAATCTTCCCCATCCTACATCCCCCAGCCCCAGCCGTGTGTCTCACCCTTTACCTGGATACACCACTACAAAGGGTGAGGGAGCTATAGTAGTTACTCTGCATTCCCGTTCACTTGTTGACTTCTTTCCAAAAATGTGGTTGCTGATTAGAGCAACCAGTGGAGCTAAATTAGAGCTCCACTGAAACAGCCAGGTTGTTTTGTATAGGATACCTTCTACCACTACCTAAATTGTGTTTTCTATTCAGTTGGGCTGAGTCAGAACAGGAATGTTGAATTTGCAGCCTGTTGCTTGTCACTAGTATTTGCCACTCCTGGCTCTGTCAGTGCCAGTGGGACTCAGTGAAGGGCAATATTTCATCCAGTATAATTAGCATATAGACAGTAAAGCAAACCATAAAAATATGAAGAAAGTTAAAGTTAATGCAAATTTAAAACTGACATTGCCATAATGTATCTGAGGTAATTAATTGCTTTAAAAATTATTCTTCAAGCACAAGGTACTCACTGTACAGCCTGAGTAGCTGGGCTATTTCTTAGTGGTATACAAGGAGATTACAGCCTTCTGTAATCTGTATCAGTTGCATGGGGGCCCCCTGATCTGCATAAACATGACATTGTGAGGCACACATCTTATGCAGAGGACCCAAAAGAGAAAAAATGCATTGAGCGCTTGCATAGAAGCCTATCAGAACGCCCACGGGAAGTTAAATAGCACTTGGTTATTGTGCTAGCTTAGAGAATTTGGATCTGCAATAGCAAGATGACAGTTTACATACTGTTTTTTCCCCCTACTCTCCAGTTACATAGCTTTATTTGTTTTAAAGAGGACTCTTCTAGATTGAAGTGTCTTCTTTCTCCTGTGTGGAGGGGGATCAGTGATGTTTCCATAACAGCAGCAGCATATATGGCATTCCATACCCTTTGGAGATTTTATTAGCTAGGGATTCATTGGGATCTTTAGACTGTTGGCACTTGGGGGAACACTGCAGTCGTTCTGTTACTGCAGATATAATACTGTGGGACATTATGGAGCTTCTAAATATAGTACAGAGAAAGTGACAATAGTTATAAAAGGTACAGCATGTGTCTTCTTTTGCTGCTTCGGTTGCCAGCAGTGGAGGGAAGCAGTGGGCCCTTTCTCTGTCCTAGTTAGATTAGCTAGCAACGCTAAGCAGGAAAACTCTTTTAATCAGAGAGTTTGAAGGTCTTCCAAGTACAAACAATCCCTTCTAGGGATTGCCAGAAGAGGAAATGTATATAACTGTATTCATGGCTGTAAGTAGTCTGACATCAAGTTTGGATGCAATAGGATGATTCACAACAGAGTGAAAGGAAGATATATTTATAAGGGCTTTACAGTATTTTCTGTTTGTTTCTGATCCATAAGATAGGAATAATCATTGCATATTTTATTTTCTATTTTCTGTTTCTTACGTTAGTGTTTTTCGTTTCTTTTTCTGTTCATCTACCACTGATCTCTTTACATGTCTTCTCTCATCAGCCTGCACAGAACTAGCTCACCGCTGAGACTTACTAATGCGTATGGAGGGACAATTGAATCTTAATGTATTTTTGCTGTGTTCTATTTCCTGTTTTTATTGAAATTCCATACAAATTTTATGCATTAAGCATTCTTACTGTAACTCTCAAAACCTTTGTTAAGGTCTTTGGAGAAGAATCAATAGTCAGTACAGCATAAATCGCGTACCCTAAGAATTTTAATTGGAATGCTTGTGGTTATTTAATCATCTTGTTCGTCTCAAACACTGTTAGAATATATTAAAAAAAAAAAAAAAGTATAATTACATTAACGGAATTAGGAAACAGCTCATCATTAAAACCCTTTTTCTAACATCCATAGTCATACAGACTTGAAACTTCCCTATGCACTTGGTTTGAGAGTTTGCAACAAGAAAGAAAACAGGGATGAAAGAGAGAGCTGGGATCTCAGAGGAGAATTAGGCACCAGAAATTATGGTGTTCTTGTTCCAGCTCTTACACTGACTCTGATACTTCCATTTCTATAGCGTTTGCCATCTCTGGATCTCAAAGTGGATTATAAAGAATAGTGATTTAAACCTTCCTGCACCTCTAGGAGATAGGTAAGCAATATTATTCCCATTTTACAGATGGAGAAATTGTGATGCAGAGAGGCTTAGCGTTTCTTCTTCAAGTTTACTTATGAGCACACATGCATGCACACACAGAGAACCAGAAATAGACCAGAACTTTTATTGCCCTTTGTTTTAAGCGAAGTCCATCCTCCTTTCCGTTTAACCTCTCTGACTTATATTCCCCATCTGTAAAAGGACGGAAACTGGTATAGGCATGGAGATATTTTCTTGCACATAAATTTCTGAGCAAAAACAGAAAAAAAACAAAACAAAACACAGAGGACAAAATTCACTCTCGAAATCCAATGCATTTTGTTTATTGGCAAATATGTTAGGTTTTGGGTCAAGTGTTTTTGTAGGTGGGGAGAGCAGTGTGTTCTGCACCCTGACGAGTAAAATTTAGTTATTTTTATAAAATGGCTTGATTATTTTGTAATATAAGAACATTAATAAAAAAAATAAAGTATTAAAAAAGTACTGATTTACATGGCAAAATATTAAACCCATCAAGTAGTTCACTCTCTGTGTTATGCAAAAGAGAGTCCTAGACAAACAGATTTTGCTGTGTACCTCAGGTGCTAGGTCAGTAACCCCAATGCGCTGTGGCAGGCAGGAGGAGGAGAGCAGTGCCGCATGTCCGTGTACATAGATCCCGTGAGAGTGCTACTGTGCCTGTACTGCAGTATGAGGTCCTCAATGGCAGACAGCAATCTAGATACTCTGCTTACCTATTTACAAAAGAAGTGACATTACTAATGAGATTTTGGAGAAGGTGTTGAAGATCAAACATAGATCTTGTTACTGCTATTACTATTACTGGAATTATTGTTTCTTGTTATATTTTAAAAAGATACTTATAAAATTGTCTATAAACTCGATTGGTCTGATCATATACAGCAGCAAAAGGTCATGAAGGTTCTGTCTCATTAATCTTAACCAGTGTTAAAATCTTGCAGGAGCTTTTAAAAATCCTTTCACATTCATCTACTAATTTGCTACAGAATTGAAACATCGAGACCAGAATATATTAGATGTTTTAATTTTACTGTTAATAACACATCTGGCAGGTGTCTCTGTATTGAACAAATAGCTTACAAATAAATGTTTGTCACATTTTTCTGCATGCATCCTATGGGATAGGCAGGCTAGATCAAAAAAACACATAACACCCATGTTAACATTTTCCTGTAAGTAATCCAACTTCATTGTGATACAGTAGATAAATTGCATATATTTACCGGTGAATGTATGTATATAGTGAATAATATGGCTAATGTATATTTTCGTTAAATGGAATGGAGACTGGATGTATTTGTGTAGTTCGCATGCAACATGCATATATGGATAACTTAATTCAAGGATTCATTATGAAGTTAAGATTCCTATTATTTTAGTTGTAACACTTCATGGCCAGAAATATACTGAATTTTGGGTAGAAAATTTGGTTGATTTGGAGCTAAGGTAAAAGCTGATTTTATTATTGCAGCTTTCCTAAACAGTAATAATGATGATGCAGATGATGGTGATAGCAGTAATAACAATACTTCAGCAAGTGAGCCAGTTCCTCGTCTTGACTTCATGTGTAACTGAGATCAGAATTTAACCCAGGGTCTTTCTGAATGCTAGTACAAATCATTTGTTACCTTTGCTCCCAATTACAGTTAAAATAGCCAATGTCTTGAGGTAATATAGCTAGCACAGCTGGTGGATTAGCTGGTGGGTTTGCTAATGCATTGACCTTCTTCATCTGTGTAACATGAGTTAATTTACAGGCTGACAGTAAATGCTGAAATTTGAATTGTAGCACTAATGCACCATTTTTTCATCTCTCTGTCAAACCAGACTAAAGGGTCATTTGGTGATGAGGATAATGGTTCACTTTGAAAGGGAATGAAAACCGGCTTCTGAATCTGGGGGATTCTAGATCTTGCTGCAAATAACAAGATGAACTAGGAAAAAATAGGCTTGGAAATTCCAGTAGTAATGAACCTGCAAGTCTGACTATTTGCCATGTTCTGGTACTGGTGCTGCATAGGCACACTGGAATGCTTGCCCTGACATGTTAGACAGAATAATAAAACAGCATGTGAAGTTTGGTTTTCAGACTATCAAGCCTCAAAAAGACTTTTCTCTGAAAAGTGAATCAACGTTAAACTGTTTGCTACAATGGGAACATTAAGCGGCAGTTTGTGACAAGTTTTGATTGTTTCTCTACACCCTAAGAAATACTAAACCTAAGAACTGTTGGAGACTGATTTTTTTCCTTTTTCTCTCAGAAGTGTCTTTCTTTCTTTTCTGCAGCACGGAAAAGGATATGCTAGTCACTTCTACAGGACTTACCTGAAGCAGCATGATTTGCACAAAAGTCGACCAACAAAAAGCATCAACTTTCAACTTCATTATCTTGGCCATCCAGTTCTGTCTAACTGAAGGATTTGTGTGCTGTTGGAGACATCATGGCCAACAATAGGACCTAATTGCTCTCAGCAGGCCTGAGAAATGAGTTGAAATGTGTAGAACTGTAGAAACTTCAGAGGCAACTGATCTTGCCTCTCTGATCAGTGTGTGCCTGTTTACAGCACTATATATCTTTCTCTCTCCAAAATGTCACTGAGCCCTTTAGATGTTTATATTCACCACAAGAAGCCAATCGTACAGATAAAAGAAATGTGCATTATAAATGCAATATCACTGTTTTAAACTTGACTGTTTTATATTATTTTTGTGTGATCAAGTGTTCCCCAAACTATTCCAACTTTACAAGAGAGATTGTGATCATGTTCTTTTCACCCGTGGGTCTCAAAAATGTTGTTAATCTGAGGACCCACAAAATTATCAAAGACATTCTGTAGTTTATACACCGTGTTGCAAAGTGTTTACTGTACTATTTCAAAGCTTCTAAATAAATATAAAATATATATATATTATATTATATATAATTTTCCGAAAAATGTGGTACAACTTAGTTGATTTTTAAATGGATTCATACAGTCTACACCATACACTAAAGTGAGAAGGTAATTCAGGGTTCCTAAGCTATCCTTGCTGAAAACAAAAATAAAATAAACCTTTAGTAGTACTTCCCCAATATTCGTATTTTGGTCAATCCTGTTTTTCTTGTTAAAAAAAAAAAAAAAAGCTGTAAGCAACAACATTTTGTCTAAAAGTTGTAATGATTTTTCAATGCCAAAGATGCAGCTGTCAATATTACCAGAATGAGCGCTATGTACTATCAGAGGTATAAATCACTCTCCATTATTTTGATTATATTTCTATGGTTTTTAATTTGGAATCACAAAATCTTTTATAAGGCTCTATAAACTCACCTGTATATGTTGTTAAAAAGAACACTGGGTGTCTGTACATTTTGCAGTGTAAAATATAATGTAAGTGAAGTTAAGTATTTTAAGAAAATCATCCCAAACTCATAAATATGCATACATACATACACACACACAAATGCGCACATCTCTCTGACATAGTTTTGTGAAACTATACAAATATATTGCATAAAATATTTCTCTTGTGGCTAGGAATAGTTATTGATAGAATTCAAATTACAAAGGCAAAGTACATGCCAAACTATTGACTCTTTTATCACAAGGGAGGTTTGAAATTAGGAACATGGCACATTCTCAGCTGACCCTTCTCCCAAAAAGGGGGGTTGGCTACCATCTCTGTTGGGAAAAGGATTAAGCCCTTGCATATACTCTTTATGTTCTGTAACAATTATATGGTTTGAAATGGTATCTTAGAGCATTTCTTTTCTATGAAAGATTGAAAATGGTAAACTTTCAAAGGTAAAGTTACAAGTTATGTTCATGTCCATGGAGCTTAAGTACCATTTACTAAATGTAAAAATCTAGTAAAATGTTTTTTCTTTTTTTTTCCTTTTTTTGTATTTTTTTTTCCTGGCTGTATCTTAGTATCTGTCAAATATTGAAAACAAATGATAGAACACTGTATTGGCAAACAATGTCTAGCCAAATTTGAACAAATGCCTAGGGACAATCCAGTATTAAGACAACAAAAAAAGCTTTCATTGATTGCAGTTGAATTTGGATCATGCTGTTATGTATGAATTCTGATATCCCCACCAGTGCTACCACAGGATAAATATGCGAGAAGCAGATTTTAGCCACTACTATGTGGTTATTGAGTCTGGTTTTCTTCCTTTTGTCATTATTTTTGTTTGTTTGTTTATAATGCCAGTTTCTAGAAGCTAGATAAATCATTCGTATGGAAACCATCCAGCTAAGGAGCCAAACAAGACTCCTGACCAGTTTGTGGGAGCTCTCTGTTCAAACAGCTGGACTGAGCTCTGGAGTTAATTTCACTACTCTTAGCAAAATATCATTCTTAAACACTTCTAATGCATATTTCTAGCACATTTGTGTAACTATAAACTATTTGGGGGATCCTTTTAAAAATGTATATGCCATAGAAAACACACAAACTAGTGCCAAGAATGGCTATTGATTTGAGCAAACAATAATAGTGGAATGTTTCTCTAGCTGTAGGTAGTGGGGCTTTTAGTCACCTACATGCCTTGTTAGTTTTATGAAGAACAGCAATGAATTTTTTGACATATCCTTCACGTAAAGCCTGTTAAATTGTTGTTTCTGCTTTAAAAGCAAGTCTTTGTCCTCCATGGAACTGTTTTTTCCTTATTTCCAAGTATCTCTTCAGTTGTAGACGCATACTGTAGTGTTTATTTTCAGTCTTTGGGAAGGAAAAAAATATTTGTTTTCTTTTTTCATAATCAGTGAAGTATTTTTGTTTGATAAAACTGCCTTCACATTTGCATAGATTTTTTTTTTCTGAAAGACTTAACCATATCAAACCATGTCATTCATTTCCATAACTGAACTCCTTCAGTGAACTACGTATGTAATATACACATCTTCATATGTCCTTTCCTTTCGATAATAGAGACTTTGGTCCATGTATACATGAACATCCTTCTGAGTTCATTGGGAGAGTCTCAGAGGGAATAATGATAGGATACAGAACTGCAGAGGAACAGAAAGTTTTTAAGTACTACATCCTGGGCTCCCAAAATATTTAGACTTTTGCTGATTTCCCTAGATCACTGTGAATTTCAGTATGGTAACATTTGATGACATGAGGTTTAGGCCACATTAGAAAATGGTACTTAGCTGTCATGTCCCAAGAGAAGTTCTGAAAAGTGTGTATGTCAGGAAAGGTTCAATCTCTTCCCTAATTATATGTGTTAGTGGGAAAGATACCTGATGCATCTAGCCACTTCCCTCTGAAACTGAATTGTTCAGCATCTCCATGTATTTCATCTGTCATGCTACTAGGTGCCTGTCTGCAATGATAGGTATGTAAATGCCTTTAAACATTAGCCTTTTGTATTTGCCTCTTCCTTGAAGCATATGTGATACAAATGTCTAAGGATTCTGATTCCCATATCGGACAAAAAGCAAACTGAACTTGGGGGAAAATATTTAGATTGAATATTACAGAGGAATCTATATCCATAAGCTGAAATAGGGAAGGTTCTGAAACCACCTTCATTAAAGGATTTCATGAATATTTCAAAAAATACCTGTCAGGGATGATGTAAGTGTACTTAAACTTGCCTCAAAGAAAAGGCATGAACTAGCTTCTCAGTCCTGTCATTCCATAATTTTCCTAGTAGGGCATATTGAGCTTCGGAGGATGTTATCTGTACACAGCTGTAGGAATAAGGACATTCTATCCTTCAATTAGGTATCAGAAGCAATATTTAATGTTTAAATTTGCATAAAATTTATGAACGTAATAGAACAAGCTGTGTGAAGAACTTCCTGTGTTGTAAATTAAAGTTTCAGCACAGGACAGTGTTTTATAAAGGAAAACAAAATGAAATCAGATACGTTTTGTTTTGTTTTGTTTTGTATTCCTGATTTAGATATGTAGCAATGGATACCTAAGCAGCTTGCCTGTTCAATTTCTTCCAAACCAGTGTTTAGTTTCTTCCAGACTGATTATTCCAAAACTGAGAAATACTAAAATATTTCACTTTTTGAAATAAAATTTGGGGTATTTAGTGTAGGTTTTTACTAAGCTGCCTACTAGGAGAAAAATAAAAATAAGTATTTCCAATAATATATTCTCAGCTTATTTGAACAAGGTGTAGTGATTTTTCAACAGTATTGTTGCAAAACTAAGTGGAATGACAGTGCACAGATATATATAATTTGTAAAGATTATGCTTCCTGCATTATAGTCACTATATATGTGTGTGTTGGGGGGGTATGTGTGTGTGTATATAATGATAGTTCAAAATCTGGTAAATTGCCACTGGATTTTTTTCTTACAGGAGTACACTCTTATCAGTAAAAGCAAAGAGAAGGGTAGAAACACATTTATGATATTAGAAAATTAGACTTGTCCCTTAGTGTAGAATGGAGTTTTGTATTTGGTATTTGAATTCAGCCCCTTCTTCATACATTACACCCACAATCAATTCAGCATTTGATTTTAAAAATTTTACCTGCTCATAGTAGACTTTTTTTTTTTCTTTTTCTTTTTTTTCTTTAAAGTACTATCATTCCTCAGGGTAAAAGGTGGATAAATAGATAGTCTTCCTAGGCTGATAAATTGTCATTGCAATTTTGCAAGGCTGTTAAATATTTATATGTCTTGTATGGAGAAAGCTGATCATATCCTGCCATTGTTCCTTGTTCAAGTCTTGAGTTCTATGGCATTGGGACTTTTTGATTAAAATCTATACAAAGGCGTAGGGGCCAAAATGAGCATCTTTGATATGCATTTAGTCATAGCACTTTGATTGCAAAGCATTAGCATCAGATCTCTACGAAGAACAGGAAGTTGTTCGTTCTATTTGAAATAAAGTAAAAGGCAGCCAGTAAGACTTTATTATTATGTTATGCTATGGGAAATTCTGAAACAATTAAGTCCGTTGCACTGATCCCTACAATCAGAGCTCAAATTTGTCTTAAAGAACTCCTTCACTTTTTTTGTCTCTAATCTGCTAATCTGTCTTGATATGAAATGGATACATATATACAAACAAATACACACATCCATTAAAATTCATTGCTGAGCATCTGTGTTTTTGTAGATATCCTCATATGTAAGAAATGAGCAAGAACTAACTTGGACAGCTTTCTTGAATTGAAATTGTTTTTGAAGTTGAATTTGTTAATAAAGTTCATGATATTGTATGTTGGCTGAGACATCAGGAAAAATGAAATCTATGTGGGTGTAGTTCTCCAGAAGGCAAATGCTTCATTTAGGAAGCATCCTGTCAAAAATGTGTAAATGTGAGTGCTGGAAATCTTGCTGAGTCAAGATGAAACATACTGTGCTAAAACTTTCTTGTTCTCTGTGTCAGCACTGATTAAAATGTCCTCTGGATGTTAACCACTGTAGTCATTCTGAAGACACCAAAAATGGCAAACAGGGTTCAAATGATGTTTACCAATCATACTGAAGAGAGACAAAGACAAAAAGGTGAATATGTATTAGAATATTTATTTATATTTTATATTATGTTATACAGTAGGGAAAATTCAGTTAAGCCAAGCAATTAATGAAACAGTATGCTTCCAAATATGTGCATTTCAAAGATTAAAGTTCGCCTCATGATTAGCTTAAAAGCATATTTTGGATAACTCATCTTTGAGTTGCACTAAGAGCGAGGAGTAATGTATTGTATAACAATGCCTTATGAGAACATGATAAAGTGAATGTAACCATAACAACCTTAAGTTTTAGAAGTCTTGGATTCAAACATTCAGGTTGCAAAACTGCACTGTATTTTATATGCATCAGAGCCTAATTCCATTAAAGGCAATGGTCCAAGCCGCAGTGATTTGAAGGAGAGCAAAAGGAAGTTCTCATTTCTTTCTTTATGCACATGCATTTTTAAGCAAGAACAGCTTGCAATAAAATTATTTGACACCAAAAAAAAAAAATGGGAAACTTCACTAGCTCTGCTTTTAAGAACCTGTGCAATCGAGTTCTGAAATTTGGATGTTGCTATATGTCAGTTTAAAACAGACATCTTTCTAGTGATTTTATCTTAAAGCAAAATAATGAAATATGTTAAATGACATCTCTGTTCAGATTTCCTAAGAAGACCGAAACAGAAATGCAGTCCTGAAAAGATATATTCGTGATTTTAAAATGCAAATGGGCAAAGAATAAAAAATTCATTGAACCAGAGTATTCTCACACTGCCAAACCTGGTGGTTGAAAATGTGAACAAAGCAAGCAAAGAAAATACCAGCCCCAACAAGTAATGTTTCCAAAAGTTTTGCTTTGGAAGGTAACAAATTTCCTAATCACATCATCTCCTTTCAGGCCTAGATGGAAAGATGTATCCTATCAACGTTTCTGGTCTCACTTTTACTTGGAGTATAGACATACTAGAGGGTCTCCGTGTGTGGGCAGGTAGGAGTATTCCTGTTCGACGAGAATAAAAAAAGAAAAAAAAAAAAAAAGAGCTAAATGAACCCTGATGTCAAAACTAAATATTAATTCCACCTCCATCACTACAACTATTTTACATATGTATCAGATTAATTTAGAGCAAGAACTTTATGGGATGCTGACAGGAGAGCAGTGGTGTGGGACTGTTCCACCACGAAGAAGACAGAGAGTGCTCAGCTTTTCCTAGTCTCACAGATGACATTAATTGGTACTTAAATAGTGCTTTGTTCAGGAACATAAATATCATGAAAAAGAAAGATTTCACCATGAGAGCAATATATTTGTTGTGGCTTATGCTATCTGCAAAAAAAAAATGATGAATGCAAGCAAACATTATCCTGCTCAAACCCCTGAAGATGAGGCTAAATGATGCCCTTGGAGCTCACAGCCATTCAGTTTTTGTTAGAGGCTTGGTTTGATTTATATTCTGACTGGCAACAAAGAAAGAAGCCAGAGAGTGAGCGCTGGAACTAGAAGATAGTTAATTAATACAGTCCAGGGAGAAAATGCAGTATACCTTGTATTGATATAATTAAACCTCACTGAGCTTCTGGAAATAAATAAATAAATAAATAACCGACAAAGAACAGCTCCTTGATACTCCATGTACACATCTAAATTAAAACAGTCACAGCTGAGTTGAAAAATAGCTGCAGGTGATATATCATAGTCTTTCTTACACTATTGCCAGGGGCCAGTGGGGGCCAGCCCCCAGCACCAGGCACCTCCTGGGGGACAGGGATGAGTTGGGCCTGAGGGCAGGGGTCAGGATCAGGCCCAATGAGGGGGATAGAGGTCAGAGACAGCATATGGAAACTTATATTAAGCTTGCCATTTTTAAATTTGGTTATTAAATTGCTGTTGTCAGGTCTTGTGTTTCAGTCTCAGGTTTATTTCATTTTATTTAGCAAATCTGATCCAAGAAGTAGCACTTACACTAGGGAAAAGCAGGAAGTTTACCATTTTCTTTTTTACCTAACTCATTTCCAGACCTCCGCTGTTCAGCAATAAGGGTATGAAAAGTCATAACAGAAAGTATTTGAAATCTACACGGTGTTTTACTGGGCTGAGGAAATTTCTTTCCTGTTTCCATTCTATCTGCAGTAAGCTGGAAAGCACCATTTGCACACAGACTCATCAGGTTTTTAATTCTTCATTTGCAGAGTGAAATCTACAAACTCACTGAACACACTGCTAATGTGCACAGATCCAAAACTTTAGGAAATAATAATAATACAAAATAATCTGTCTTACTTTTCTCATCCAAAAAAAAATAACCTTTAGCAGTGGAAAATGTATGCATAGCTGGAAAACAAAACAAAACAAAAAAAAACAAAACATTAATTTCCAAGTTAGATTTCTATTGACTGCTGTTCTGTGTGCTTTATATCCTTTATTAGTAAGCAAAATATACTCCAGTGTTACAACAGATGCCTGTATCACTATCCTTATTTTACTGAAGCATAACTGAGAAATTTCATAATGCAGTTTATTGCAGAGGCGGGAATAGAACCTAGTTCCTAAATCAAAATAATAAGAAAACCCACCACCAACAGTGATTATAATATAAAATAATGTAAGCCCACATGGGTGCTACAATACTGAGATCTCCCCACATGCAGGTTAATGAGCTAACTAGCAGTCTAGAGAGCAATATGCAATTTGGTGCCCTTGGTCTCACTGTCAAAAGAATATGTAATTATTCTTTGCAAAATGGGACAGCTTCAAAGACAGCAATGAAGAGCTCTTCATCTTTCCACTCAGAACCTAAATCCTTCTGGATTTGATGATTAGGGAGGGCTGGGAAAAGAAAATTGGGTCTAGATCCCATCGTATAAAAGAAGCATTTGTCCTCAGGGGCCAACGTCGTGGGTGAATACTACTATCAGTATGGTATAAAAAGGGCCTCCATCAGCACTTCTTTCTCTGGCAGTTTTCTGTTCAATATATGTCTTCTCAGAATACCTAAAAATAGGATCCTTCAGAAAACCCATGATGTTAAGGACTACGTACCTGAAATTACCAGAGCAGGTGACATGACTTCTGGAGTATTTTTTCAGGATGTGAGAAATCTGTATTCAGTTCTCTGTCTCAGATAATCCAATTTAGAAGAGTTTCTAAAGTATTATCTCCCATTTTGCTTTTCCATTTTACAAATGCACCTTTTCTTGGTGCAAGAACTAGGCATATGTGGCACCTTCTACAGATTATCACTCATTAAATATAGACTCATTTGGTTGCTCTCCAATGAGTACTTAATATTTTATACAATTTTTTATTCTGCTCAATAGGTATTTGTAGCTGGCATGCAGAGTGGTGCTAGGCACATTACAGAACCATTAGAGAGCTTGCCCTCTTGCCTAAAGGAGAGGGCAAGAGAGCAAACCACATCTGACGTGTTAGTCATGTAGATGAATGTTTTATTGGAAAATACACAAGGCATAATGGTGGTAAGGGCAGTCTAAAAATCTGATACTAAAAGAAGACATTACTGGGAAGAACTTAGCTGGTATTTGCCTGGCGGATGTTGAAAAGTTCAGAGATTCTGGACAGTTGGATACATTCCCAGAAGGTAAATCTTTCCTAAGTCATCCTATAGAGGTCAACAGAATTACTGTATCAGTTAAGCTGGGAAACAACACTTCTTCTTCAGTGTTTCCCTGGCGTAAGTATCTGGACATTATAAGCTGGATATATATATATTAAAATAAAATAAAATAAAATAAAATAAAATAAAATAAAATAAATAAAATAAAATAAAATAAAATAAAATAAAATAAAATAAAATAAAATAAAATAAAATAAAATAAAATAAAATAATAAAATAAATGAGGTTTATGGAACTACTGTTATAAAAAGAGGATTTATTCACCCCTTCAACTCTCTGGAACTACTCTGATGGCCTCAGACACCTCAGGGCTGTGTCTGATCCCAGTTCTCCTCACTTCAGGCCTGATGCTGACCTGCACCAGAGGCCAATGTCCCAGCCCTCAGCCCCTCTGTGCGCAGACATTGAGAGGCCATTGCTCCCAATTCTCCTGCAATCCCATTACCAATACATGCCTGTCCAACCTGTTCTTACAGACCGTGCTGCTGCCAGGCACAACATGCCTCTGTTGTAGAAGAGATACTCCAAAGAGGGTGGGAAAAGGAACATTTCATTTTGAGATGGGCTTTTATTTTGATAGTTTTATTTCCTTGCTGCTGTGTTATTGTAAACTACTAGAGTATTTAGACTGCAGAATTATGGCTATTTCAAATAAATCAAACATTTCCTGTGCATTTGTTGTCAGTAATGTTCCTCAAGGTCCTTTTTCTTCCTTCTTGGTCTTGATCTGCTCTTGCAAAGAAAAAACTTGTACCTATAACAGTTCTGTCTCTCCCTTTCCCCAGTTTTCTCTTCCTCCCAAGACATTTAATTTGGCTTGTCAGTAGCTTGAACAAGTAACATAATTTCTTAGCTGTAGGAAACAAATGAAAATAAATTTATTTGAAGAATTTTTCTGACTTTTTTTTTTTTCGGTATGCAGGTGAAATCCTCCTTCAACTCCAGTTTATTCTAAATAATTGGAGAATAAAAGTAGGTTCTCAGTCCAGTGTGTATTTCTGTGATACTAGTTTACTACAGGTGGACATCTTGCCCTGCTGGGTCCATTGTAAAAAAAGGTAGACCAACCCATTAATCAAAATACCAAAAATCTAGTTAGAGATACAGTTTTATAGCTCAGTGAATATACATAAAAAAATCAATGAATGCAAACTGAATTTAAAAGTGAGATGTTGGGTTGTCCCTCTAGAAGTTACAGTACAGAACTCAAACTAGTTGAAAAGAAATGGCATAATATTAAGAGTATATCTGAATTAATTCCTTTGTGCTCCTGATGTAAACTGGTTATAGCAGAAGTCTGTCAATTTTTCAGCAGCCCCCCAGACTATATTGCCTCTAGGCAGTATTGCTAGAAGTTAAGATCTCTCCCTGCTCCCATCCTGCTCCCACGACTGGTGTTCCCCTAGAGACTTTGATAGGAATGGGACAACAGTGACTGTTCTGCCTTGCTGCTGGGGAGTTTCCCTCTCTGGATCAATTCTGTATTTTAACAACCTGTTCTATTCCTTCTGCACTTTCACTCACATACAGAAGCTCAAATGGGAAAAAATAGCTTACCTAAAGGATCAAAACCTCAGAAAGCATTGAACCCTTAAATAATATGGAAGATCACAAGAAGCCCCTTCAAGTTAGAAGAATCTGCTCGTCACCTTGAATTATGTCAGCACCATCCTTCTCTTTATTCCCCTTAGAGTGTCTGGAGTCAAAGACAAAATGGCATAACAAATGACACTCTGTGGCCTGCTGCTTTCTGGCTGCCATTTGTATGTTAAATCACTAGCAGCTGTCATGATCAAAAAGAGTGGGAAAGTCGGTGTTGGAGGGGAAGCGCACACACACACAAATGAGGGCTTGATTCCTTAGGGGAGGAAAGCAATATGAAATACAGATGGAGTGTTGTAGACAATACAGGTGATGAATGAGTAACTCACAATGTTGTGAAAGGAGCGCGGGGTAAGTGCTTTATAAGCATCATTTACATATCTCAGTACTTCTGTACAAATTTGTATTGTGCATTGCCTCTCAAAAAGCAAATGGAAAATGCCTTTAAATGTCAGGTGTTTTTATTAGGATTGTTTATATGTTCTTATGCTGTACAATAGTTACTACAATTAGCAAAAGTTTGCAGTCTGAGAAGGTTACAGCTAGCCGTCATATCCGTGGCACTGTGCCACCTGCACCTTAGCAGAGTGAGCTCACTTCACTTGGGCTTCACCATGAAGGCACTTTGTGGTTCCCTTTCTTTGGATGAGCAGGAGAGGCAGAGCCCCAGAGAGCAGACCATCAGCTGGTCCTTACCTATGCTGAGGAGAGGTTCCTTCATAACTTGCAACCAAAAATAAATTAATTGTTGAATGTATTTTTAATCTGAAAATACTTTCAGATTTACTTTTTAATACTGCATCTCCGAAGCCTGATTTTAAGAATTTCTGAGCAGGTACAGTGAATTTTTCTTCCTCCCTTAGCTGCATATTTATGCAATCCATGCTGAGCACTGTTTTTCAGGTAGGAACTTATGCATGAAATAGCATTGAATTCCTCTTGTTTGCAGATTGGATACCTTTCAACCGATTGAGTCTCACCTGCTACAGCTGTTAGCACTTGACTAGAAAGTGTCTTTCCTTGATGGCCTGTCACTCTTCAAGAGAGATCCTTCCCTTTTGTTCATAATCTCTGCACAGCATTGCTTTCTCTTTGTTAGACGGATCACTTCTCCGGAATTCACAATCTTTAATAAACACATCATCAACAAAATGCTTTCATCTTTTCTTTAGATTTTGTAACATCTCTAGAAATTATTTTTCTCCTTCTGCATGCTTTGCATAAACTTGTCAGCAAATCTGTTTACATCATTCTCAAGGAGCTAAAGTTTTTACTTTTTTTTTTTTTTTTTAAAGCTTTGTTCTTCTCCCAGCTCAGTAACTATTCATCAGATGACTTGCAGTCTTTGGCACTGTTTTTTTAACCACTCACCATGACAATTGAATTGATCATACATATGCTCAGGGCTCAGATATCCCACTGCTATCATCAGCATAAAAGAAAAAATCTAAGATATGGGGTTTTATTATATGCAAAATACCTATAGCAGAGTTTTAAATTCAGTCTTTAGCTTTACCATTGTGTTATAGATTGACATAATCCAATATCCCCACACAAAATACTTGTTAATTGCATTATATGTTAAAATGTATATGTTAAAAGATTATACATTTCATAAGAATTCTGCTTTGTATTGCAAGTATGTCATCTGTTGATGAACAAAAATATATCAATACAGTGTATCAATATATGGATTTCTCACTCATACTTGGTTTGGGATATCAGATTTTCATTTATCTATCAGTATCTGTAAAACAAGAGCCCAGAGGAGACCCATTCATAGCCACCTGTGGTTACTCAAAATGAGTAATTGTGTCTGACATACCATTTGGGTGCTGGAGCCCTTACCTGGGACCGTACTTAGTCTTGCACCAAGGAAACCTGATGGGTTTCCTTCACATCACCACCATATGCTTGTATTAGGGAATGCACAAACACACTAATATAAGGTGGCCTTACCATACTCATCTTACAATTTAATTATGAGAGTGAAGAGCAGATCTTAAGAGTTTCAAACAGAGGATCACAAAGGAAAATACCCAACACTGAGAAGCAGGAACCTAATCTACACAGTACTGAAATTTGTTAGTACCCATCCAATGTGCGTCAGAAAGATAGCCTGCTGGCAGAGTATGAGCAGGGATGTTGAAGAAAAGTTGAATATTACAGCTTTTCTCAAAAGAAATATCAGGCCAGAATTTCACTACTTGTGTAAGATTCAGAGATCTGCCTGGGGACTCAGAGCCTTCAGAAGTAATGAAGATGAAACCCTGATTTTAAGGTGTAGCAGGCCTTTTGGAAGCTCGCAAGTTTGAACTGCGGTTTTCATGTTATAGCCCAAATCCATCCCATCCAAGATTAGATGCTGATGTCAGGTGAGCAAATTAGGATATAGCAGTAAGGTGGTAAGTAGCTCAGGGATAGAGAGAAGACTATCGGGGGTAGCTGAAATTGAAGCAGCCCTGAAACAACTGCTGGAGCTGCTTACCTGGCTAAGAGGGAGCTACAGATAACTATGCTCCAAATTCTGATGCTTCATTTAAGTGCCAAAAAGTCCATAAAGTAAGTTGAAGCGTAGGAGCTCTGTCTTAAGTCCCAAGGCAGAGAGTCTTCTTCAGAGGCTGTACACTGATCAAAGAAAGCTGCATTTTTAAAACTTTGGTCAAAAAAAGTAATTATGACTGAATGGTATGTTCAGGTGCTGGAGCCCATGCCTGGGAAGCAGCATGTCCATGGTCTCTCTCCATCCATGAGCCTGGTGGGTTTCCTTCACATCGCCACTAGGCGCGCACGACACAGTGAAGTGGGGTGGCTGCACACTGGCCCATTTTGGAGAGCAGTGAAGTACATTTAATCGCCCTTTTCTCTTGGGACACACAATCCAAAACAGGTGTCAGATACTAATTAGGCAGCCAGTAGTACTTGAAACTATAACCTGTTGTGAGGCTATTAATAGTGAAGCTGGAGCTTTCTTACTAGTACTGAAATATTTATTTATTTTTATACATTTTAATTGCTGCTAACCATTATTTTAAAATACTAGACAGCAGCTAAAGTTTTAAATCAACAACACAAACTCAAATAGTTGCTGCAGTTCATTATTAGCTTGGAAGAAAACAGAGCAACGATTATTTCCCTAATTGTCCTTAAAGTCATTATTACATATGCAAGTACAATTTGGTACTCTCCAGAGTCTTTCCCTCATTACACTGTGTGATTCACTAAATTACACGATTGTGATTAGTGCGGCAATCGGTGTCCAAGTGGTATCAGGCAACTACTGGGCTCCTTTTGCGGAGGTCAATTTAATTACATTGTGCATGACAGAAACCAGGCCAACTGAGTATTGCCTTTGCCACCAGCAATTGACACCTGAGTGTTAATGAGCTGGTAATTAAGAGTTGGCACAGACAGGCACATTTTAGTGTTTGGGACTGGGATTACCATATGCTTCAATGCTTCTCTGCTAAAAGCCTGAAGTTATTCATTTTCTAAAATATACAGGATTTTTAAATAAAAGCAAATTATTGCATTTCCAAATAACAAGCAAGAAAACACTTTTAATCAGGACTGAGTGCTGACTCTCATGAACTTCTGAGAAATCCTCTTTCTACTCCTAATCTTTTTGCCAGCATTTTATTTTTTGTAATACATGTTTACCAATACATGCTCACACTAGACTTGCTTATAATCAAGGGGATGTTCTGAAGTTTATTTAAAAGTAAACAATCATTGTTATTAATTTTACCATAGTTTGGCCTAGAAAATTTAATCAGAGCTAAATCCATATTGAAAGAGCTTTCTTGCAATTTATAAATCAATCTTTCTCAAACAAGAGAATAAACAAAGTTGAAAAACAGTAACAGACGTGCATTTTATTAATAAAGCCTACACATACAGAAACGGTACTTGTATGTTTCCTGTTTTAATGTTGATTTCCCTGAGCTGTTCCAGTATCTTTGAGAGTCCTGACCATTGTAACACACTATTATTAAAATGAAATCTTGAGGTCCAGACCCTTCACAATATCGCTTTATAAAAAAATCATATATCTCCACATTTCTAAACATCCTGGATGCAAATTCTCTGATTATTGATATAATTAATGATAATGATATTGGTTTTAACATTCTGGGAAGGTTTTCTCAGACAACCAATAAATACCAGTGTTTTAAGGTCTTAGAAAAACAAAGAGTGTCTTTGTCTGCAGTATGTTACCTACATTACCTACATAGCATGAGAAGAAAGGTGAAAGGGGTGGCTGCTTTTGCAGAAGTTGCTGTGGGAGAATAAAGCAAGCTCATCTGGAGTGACTTTCCCAGGGCCTTTATGCTACTTTGGAAACAACCTCTACATACAGTCTAAATTTATGAAGAAGAAACTGAGGAAGGAGACTGAGTTTGGAGAACCAAAAAAGTGAGTGGCACAAAAGAGAGAGTATGATGACAAGCTGGAGGGGAAGACGACTGGAAAATTAGGAAGAGAGAGAAGGAAAAGGTATATGGCAGAGAAACCACCTCTGAAACATAACCACAGAAAACACAATCCCAGGAAAACTAGAAAGAGAGTATGAATCTGTATGGTAGGGAAACCACCTCTGAAACATAATGCCAGAAAAGCAGTGTTACAAGTACATGATTAAGTTGCAAATATTCCAATTTTAATTTATTGTAATTTTCCTCAAGTCCTGTAACTATATGAAGCTCAACTTTAAATTAAAGAAAAAATATATTTGTCGTAGAGATTTTAAGCCAAGTATGTAAAGCTAGTAAGGTAAATTAAAAACACTCTAATGATTTGTAGGCCTTTTAAGAAATTTGATGAGGTTAATACTCTATGTTCAGTGCAAGGAATATTATGAACCAACTGCTCTCTATGAACCAGCATATATAACATTTGTGGCTACAATTCCCGTATCTCAAATCTTAGTATATAATAGAGCAGTATGATGCAGTTAAAGCAAAACAATTTTATGTGGTTCATTATCAATTTATAGTGAAGATTTTTTATTTTTTTTTTGGGGGGGGGAAGAACTCTTGATAGATTTACCTATTTAAAAGACCTCCTATATCTCTTCCATGATGTGTTTAGCAAGTGATGTTTCTACAGACTGCTCCTTCCTCAAGAGCTAGCAGCAGCCCACAGGGAGGAAGGTGGGGAAACTCTCCAGCCCTTCAAAGCTCACTTAAACAAGCAAGCCTTGCAGCATGCCTTTAGGTCAATAAGGCGCAGGATAACACTCGAGGAGAGAGCAATCTTTGAAGCTGTGGGCCCCTTGTAACAGCTACATTATTTCATAGGTGAAGACTGATTCAGTACAGTGGCTTAGACAATTTTCCATTGGCTTTACAAATCCACAGACTGTTCACATCAGATGAAAAATGTATTAACTACTGAATCTAAGTTGTGGGATTTACTTCTAATTTTCTTCTTTCGAGGAGTTTGCTTTTTTTCTGCGGAATCCTCTGTAGGACATATAGCCTTTTATATGCAGATTGCTATAATTATGCTTTGAAATAGCTTTGAATTCCCAGTGGCTTAAACTGAGAACATGAAAGGGCAAATGTTACGCTGAGCTGAAGGATATGAAAGTGGCACGTACATCAATCTAAAATGAGATATAGGGACGAACAGCTCTTTACACAGGGACGCCAGCTCTTGACAGCTTATTGAAGGATCTCTGCAGCCACGGAGGCTGTCTTGGGTAGCACGAAAGCGCTGCCTGGGGATAGCTTATCAGCTTATATTTTTCTTTTTAATACCAAAAGGTGAATCAGTGCTACACACGGTGGGAGGAACAGGCTGCCGTGGAAGCTGTTATCCTCCCCACTGCTGGCCAGTACTGCCTCATGGCTCCAGAAGAGAAACACAGAAACACGATATTTGTGATATAATTAAAGTATAAAAAGGGAGAGCCCCACGAGGCCCAGGGCCTGAGGCCAGGTGGTCCCCACTGTGGCTGGACAAGCCTGGTGGTAAGGGGTCAAGGACCAGCTGGGGCTCAGACATGGGCCCCTCACATCTTCTGCCAACAAAGCAGTCCCTGCCTCCTTGCTGGGTGAGATGGGGTTTGCAGGAAATTGAGGGGCCCAGTGGCCTGGCCTGCTCTGCAGGAGCAGCTCCCAGCTGCCCTACATGGCGGGCCCACATGGGGGCTGCCAGCCCGCCACCATGGCTGCACCAGCTCCTCCACACCCCTGTCCTGCCTTCACTCATCTTCATCATCACTTCACCTGCCATAAAGCCCACAGCCACGTGTTGACATTTTTATTAATTTATCTAAGATTGAGTGATCCTGCAAATGATAGTGTGGGCCTGTATTTTCCACACAACACAGTTGTCTTCCTGGCATGCCTAAGGATGAGGCAGCAGGGCAAGAGGAATGGGAAATGTACACACAACTATTCCAGGTGCCGTTATTTTACCAGCATTAAAATAAAAAAATAAATAAAAATTACATTGGAAAAGTAGTTACCGATCCATTATTGAAAAGTCATGCAATTTTTTTTTCCTGTGAATGGAAATACACCAGGTTCTTTTATATGTAAAGTGTTTTCTCATGTGTATATTTTAATGCAACCAGCTAAATTATGTGCATATATATTCCATTTTTGTTTAAAATGCATTGTCTACAGAATTGGTGGTTTTTTTTTTTTTTTTTTTTTTTTTTCTTCCATTCATGGGCACGTAGGAGGGATTTGCATTCAGATCCTCAAAAACAACACTTGTAGGCTTTTTAAAATTAATTCATTGAGGCGTACAGAAATACAAAGTGTGGGGCTCAGCATGAACCTCCCGGGCTCTCCCTGTTTCCACCAGGCCCCCCGGGTCCTCACCCCGCTCCCGGGCAGGGAAGCAGCGTGGCCGGGAGCAGCAGGGGGGCTGCGGGAAAGCTGTAGAAGGGGGGAAATGGCTGCTGTCGAGCCAGGGCTGCTCTAACGGAGCAAAAACTCCTCTCGGGCAGATGTTGGCCATCAGCCGGTGCTGTTGCAAGGCACGGAGGGGCGGCGCGACCCGGCGGTAGGATGGGGGGGGGCGCGCTGCAGCGTGGGCTGGGCCGCAAGGGCAGAGGTGAGCTCTCAGGGCTGTTCTGCAAAAGGGTGAAAGTACGTTGAGGGGGTGTTAAATCTGGGGGTAGGAAAGGGCCAGGAAGGATTACGGCGTCCCTGTTTGATGTGTAGGGTTTTGTGAGACTCTGGAGAAGTCTAACGGGCTGCAGGTTTCAGTTTGGGACAGCGCTGCCACTGCATGTGTCTGCTGCAGGTGAGTGGGACCTGTCTTTGCCACTGAAGCCTTTGGCTTTTACACAAGGTGGCTTTGAAATAAAAATAGGTTAGACAGTAAAAATAGTTAGTCTGGCCTAATGCATGTTGGTCAGGGCAAACTGCTTCAGCTGGGCTCAAAATAAGGTGCTGAAAATAAGGTGTTGGAGGGAGCCTCTCAGGGGGCTGTAAGAGCAGATTAGCTAATATACTCTAAAGGCCTCAAGGAAAACCCTCTTCCTTAGGAGTGAGTAAAAATAAAAAAAAAAAAAAACGAAAACAAAACAAACCAAAAAACAAAACAAACAAAACAGATGATGAGGTACTATAATAAGGGGCAGGGGATGGGCTTGGAGTGCTGTAGGGCTATGTTTCTGAATGTTACTGTAGATGCATTTACCTTCAAGCCTGTATCGGGAATTGGACCTCAGTGCTTTTTTTTTTTTTGGTTGATTGGCAGAAACCAACCTCTGTGCTCTTCTTATTGATATTACTCTGAAAATAGAGGCATAATAAATAATGAAGTAGAGCTGAGTAAAAAAAAAATACCTACTTTGGAGGTAATACTTTCTGAATCTTGAAATTATTTATGTATACTGATGAAAGCTTTTTTTTTTTTTCTTTTTAAGAGTGAAACAATGGTAGATTTACTTTGACGAAGCACAGAATGAAGCCATTTCAGAACCATGCTCTGCACCAGCCAAGTGGCGGGGGCAGCTGTATGCCAATTCAGTAAATATTCCTCATGCCTCCTCCCCCCCCCTCTTTTTTCCATTCCACCTCCATAAAAAACCTCTATCTTGATCTAGCTAGCCAGTTTGAAAACTAATGGATAGGCCAGCTGAAAACCTTAATTTTCCTTCAATATGTGAAAATGGACTATTTGTGTTCAGATGTTGTAAAGGGGGAAAAAAAAAAAAGAGAAAACTATATGTATATTAGCACTTGGTTACATAATAGCTGGATGTGTTTAACAGTAACTGGATTTTCTGTTAGTTTTGTATAGCTTGAAGAGAATTGTAGTAGTTATGGATGTTTGAGAGGTTTAGAAATGTTACAAATATTCAGAATGCTGCTCTATGATAGATATGCTATGTAGAGTAGCTCACCAAACTTTTTTGATTGCACACTCCTATCATTAAAAACGTTTTGAGCACAAACTTCCAATATTTGTATACCTATTTATAAGCTATATACTAGTGTGTTATGTACATTATAAAAAATAGGAAGAAGATGAGATAATAGTGCAATAAACACTACTTACTTCATTTAGTAATGGTTCAAAAATATCTTTCTGCTGCATCCTGGTGGATTGTCTTACCTGCTCCCAGGGGTGTGCACAACCCACTTTGGAGACCACTGGTTTAGAGCATCTTTATAGTTTACTGACTAAAGAAACCAACTCTGGCAGTATGGTAAAAGTCAGTAAGTGATAATGTCACTTGCTTCAAGTGGTTTTAGTAATGTAGGGTTCATTGTTCTATTTCAAACATCCTCTTTTTCCTTCATCCTTTCTCTGTATTCAAATTCTTCACTAGGTTATCAGCTTCATGAGGTTAAGTATCCTAATTCAAATACCCTGGCAGTGAGAACTGAATTTGGCTCAGCTGTGGAAATACTTAATGAACTTAGTTATACCCTTTCCTATGATTGTTATCTTGCAACTGCTTCCAGAGTTCAAGTTCTATGAAGGCTGAGAAAGTTTTAATGAAGTTCTTAAATAGCAGCAGTAGCTGAAAACTTGGATATTTAAAGCTTTTGACAGGATCTGGAGATCAAGACCTATTAACTTACGGGAAATCAGACACAAATTTGTATATTGAAGTTCATGCATATGTTCCACTGTCTTTTTTATGTGGTAGTTCGTTTCTCAACTGAAAGCTTTTTCAGCAGTAGAAAAAAAGTGATGAGAACGTCAGTTTGAACAATTCATTTTCTTTTCTATAACGGCCAAATTTCAGGCAGTGGGAAGCGAGAGGGAACTTAATGAGAAGTCTGATTTAGCTGATAAGATCTTCTATCTTAAAAATTACTTGGTGTAGGCAGTGGGATTGTCTTTTGCTTTTAGTGAAGGAAATTATTTAAAAAACAAAAGTTGTCCTTAGTCCACATCTTCAGAAAATTACATGAAAATCCTCAAGAAAATGAGAAAGCAGCAGGACATATATTCTCATTCTGAAAGTGAGTCCTTGCTCTCAACAGGCAGGCATGCAATAACTTTGTATACCCTATTGCATGAAGATGATACGTTTATCAGTGTTTAGGAATAATGACATGTTCATCAGCTTACTGGTCCTGTAACCTCAATTTATCCAGTGTCTGATGTGTACTTCAAATGGCTAAACTCAAAAAAAGCGGAGATAATGCATACCCACTCCTTAATGCAGCGCAGTGTGGGAAGTCCTTGAGCTAGCTGGGATGAGAGAGGTGCAGATGCCTCCAATGTTAAGTCCTTCCTCAGTAAGTAGTGTTCTCTGTTCATGTTTACTTGAATATATCACTGCAGAATATGTATGTGTCAATGTGTATGTGAATCATATTTTGGGGTTCATAGTTTAACTTTTATTCATTACATAGGAAACCTGGAAAACAAAGTTCTGATTTGGGCAATTATATCACAAACTGGCATCAGGAGTTCAGACAGTGTTTTAGACTGTGAGAGGCTAAATATTCAAAGTGCAGTTTAAGTAAGGAACTCAGAGGTAACATGTTCAGGGTGGCGTGGTGTGTTTAGCTGATCAGGTGAGCCGAACAGTCTATGTTATGTTAAGTTGTGGCTGGACAGGAAAGAGGAACAGTTCCAGTATCCTGGCTGCTGCGGTACTCCTTGTTATGTTTAACTTCCACTGGAAAGGAAAAGAGGCAGAAGTTGCTTTCCTAGCGTGCGCACGCTGGGGAAGGTTCTAGAGATCACAATGAAGTGGTGAACCAGTGCGATGTGCACCAAGGAGAAAACCTGCTTTCAGCAGGGAAAAGCTGGCCAAGCCAGACTTCAGGAGTGATGAAAGATCTCACAGAGACCCAAGAGAGGGTTGTCTGATGTTTGCTCAACCTGGGGAAATGCTGAAAGCTGTTGGACTGGCAGCCAGGACTGGGAGGGACCCCTTCCATGTATTTCAGAGATGTGAGAAGTAGGAGGGTGAGGTCTGTCCTCCATTACCAGATTTTATTTTATTTTTTTTTAATCTGATCACCCACAGGTTTTAAGATTTTTCTGTTTATGTGCATTTTGCAAAATGATGTCGTAGAGAATTCTAATAAAACACTGTCTGAGACTATAAGCCTGTTCTCTTTGAAGAAGAGGCATAAAAAGATTAGTCAGTCACCCTTCCAAGTCTTGTTGAGCTGAAGTCTCAGTATGGTTCTGAACTTTGTTTCAACCTGAACTCCTTCATTTAAAGTAGTAATAGAGAATAACTTTGAGTGGAGAAGAGGCAGAAGACAGTTTCTTTGAATACGAAATATCAACTTTTGAACTTCAAAGTTGCAAATGCTTGACCATTTAGTTCTTGGTACAGGGTTTTTGTGTTGTCTTCTGATGCATAGAAATCTTTTTTTCTTTAGCTAAGAATGTGTAGAGTTGTCTCTTCCAAATCAGTCTATTTAATTCATAGAGGGTAAGGTGTCTGAACTTGTCTGATCAAAGTAACCTCACTCAATTTGAAATAAATTGTATTCCATACTGCTGTTTTTATAGTGCCTGGTTATTGTTGCATACAATAAAAACACTGTCTGGAAGTCTTTTTCTGTGAATGCTCCTTTAATCATACTGAGGAGAAAGTAATTCTTCCAATACCCCTTTTGCCTAAGGTATATATTTTGTATATTTGCAAATGTAATATTTATATTACAAACAAACATGCCTTTGGAAGATTCAAGAAGTGATTTAGTGATTACAACTCTTATCTCCCTTCAGATTGTTGAGACTGCTTTATTTTAGATTCATTTGGTGGATGATATACAGGTGGTTGTGTAGGTTGCATCTCACTATACAGTAATTTATTTCTTTGAAAACCCATGCTTAAGAAATGGCCATGAAGAAAAGAAGGTAGATGCTAAGACTTAAAACTCACAATTAATTGTCCTTTTACAAGAAACTAAACTAAGAGAGCTGGTAAGGACCTCTTGCAGCGTAATGTCTGTGGGTATGAACACCAGTGGTTTGAGTCCTGGGGAATGCCGGTAATCTGCCTGCATCAGAAACAGTGGGGCCAGCAGGACTAGGGACGTGATTGTATGTGGCACTGGACTAGGGACCCTTGTATGTGGCACTGGGGAGACCACATCTCAAATACTGTATTCAGTTTTGGGCTCCTCACAATATCCTCAGGAAGGATATTGAGTTGCTTGAGCATGTGCACAGAAGAGCAATAGAGCTGGTGAAGGGACTAAAAAACAAGACTTATGAGGAACAGCTGAGGGAGCTGGGGGTGGTTGGTCTGGAGAAGAGGAGGCTCAGGGGAGACCTCGTTGCTCTCTCCCAACTACCTGCAAGGAGGTTCCAGCAGGGAGGGTGTTGGTCTCTGTTCTTGTGTGACAAGCTTCTGTAAAGAAACAGTCCAAAATTGCTCCAGGGAGGTTTAGATTGGATATCTGGAGAACTTATTCATGAAAAGGGTAGACAAGTATTGGAACAGGCTGCCCTGGGAAGTAGTAGAGTCCCCATCCTTGGATGTATTTGAAACGTGTGGACATGGCACTAGGGGATGTGGTTTAATGATGGGACTCAGTAGGTCAGGTTGATAGTTGAACTTAGTGATCTTGCAGGTGTTTTGCAGACAAAATGATTCTGTGATTCTAATTAATTTCATAACAAGTCACTGATCAACTTTCAGACCTTGTCCCAATGTCTCAAACATTCCTAAAGTTTAGGATGCTGGCCTATAGCACATGCTGTGCTGTTCATCCCTTGACCTTTCCGTTTCTTGCAGATGCTATAGTATAAATCAGAAGAGGTTGGATTTTGAGGACTGAAGTAATACCTTCATAATTCTACTATTATTAGACTGACTTACATAGACAGAAAACATAGATATGCAAACGCACAAATTGTGCCCCCATCCATTCTGATCCTTTCTCACTGTTCTTTAACAACAATAAGCTTATATCTAAATCTGAGGTCTTGACCCCCCTCCCATTAAGTCCCTTTCATCTCTCTCATCCGCTTTTGCTTTTGGCAGAACACTACAAAACATGCTTCGTTTTTGTTTGACTTGTAAGGAGTGATTAGGTTTGACATGGGCACTGTCTGTAGTGAGAGGCAAGAGTCAGAAGGCATCCATTGATCCTCAAATCAGACCTCCACTTTTTTTTCCTCCTATTTGCATGTATCACTGCATAGGTTAAGAAAATAGACTCTGCAGCTTTGCTGAGAAACATACAGGGTTGTCAAATGTCCACAACTTGCTTTGTTTCACCCTTCAGCAGATTGGGAAGTGTTCTGTTGATTTAGGCATCTTGGTAGGTGAGCTGTGGTATTCAGTGATGCAGATCCTGGACTAAGACCCTGTGAAGGAACTTACGTGCATTTGCATGCAAGTGAGAGAAACATACTTTATGAGGTTTCACTTGTAACTGTTCCTTGAAGAAACAGGAATGAAATGCTGCATAATAAATTAGAAGATCCCTAAAATCTCTACAGCAATGAGAACATGAGAGACTACAGCCATTTGGATTAGGACCACTCCTCTTCATGTAGAACTCTGACTCGGAAAAATCATGGAGCCATTATATGCTTTGTGTCTGGGAAGGATAGAGTTACGTGGATCTGTTTTGTCAGCATCCAGGACAAGCAGCCTTGTTTTGTGCTTTGTGACTGCTGGGGATTAAATCATACCCTGCCTTCTTGAGTCTCGCATATGTCTGCCTGTGGTGGTTTGAGGGATGTCACTCCTCTGAGTGCCTGCCTTCTCCTATCTCGCTCCCCTAGCACTCAGACTGGTGCGTGGTTGGATGACGGTTGCTGTTTTCTTCTTTCCGTGAAGAGATGGATGTGAAATGACTTTTCATATGCAAATTTGGGCATGACAGTGAAGAATTGGAATGACTGAGTAGGTGATCTTAGAGGTCTTTTCCAACCAAAATGATTCTCTGATTCTGTGAATTGCTTCTGAGCTCTGCAATAAATATGATAATTAAACAACAATTATCTTATGGATGGGTGAGAGCTGGAAGAAAAATTGTTAGTCTAGATGGGAAAGTACATCCCATTTTCCCCTGCAGCCCTATAGGTTAAGCAGACAGATAGTGCCTGGCTGTGGATCCCTCGTGTCCTTTGTCGTAATCCCAGAACAAGTCAAGTGAAGAAGCTCATCCAGCATGTTCTTTGATTGACCTGATACATAGCTTCTGTTCAGCTTGATGGTGGCACTTCGGACAATATTATTATTATTATTATTGTTATTATTTTTAGAGCTTGCTTTCTGTGCTAGTTAATCTTTCAAAACTCTTAGTTTTGTAAGACAAATTTTATAAAACAAGTGGGAAAGTGAAGTTCCTCACAGTGAGTGTTCCGGACTGGTTCCAACGGATATCTACAGAAAACATGAAAACTAACGAGATGAGTGCTTGATAAAGTCTCTTTTTTTCTGTGCATTTTGTTACGTATTTGATGAAAAATGAGAAGATAACACTTGTCTACTTAATTAGCTGCATCTTGATTAATGCTTAGTGGAAGGAACTAAACCTTCAGAATGTTGTCCTTGAAGGGAGGAGAAAAAAGAAGTGATAAGCTTCATTCTCTGCAGTGGGGAAATGAACTAGCAGGGCTCACAGAAGTCAAGAAATAAGAGATCTAAGAGTAAAGTGTACACTGTCTCAATTACACAATTTCAGAATGTATTTG